CTCGAACCGTCCTGACCGCGTAGCTCAGGTGGAAGAGCATTGGGCTAGTATTCCAAAGGTCGTAGGTTCGAATCCCACCGTGGCCGGGCATATTTTTCAAGCTCGCCCGGTGTGGATATGCACTCAGAGTAACATCGCAAACATATTATTCACCTGAGTACACAGCACTAACACAGAAAAATTCATATTCCGAAATATCACTTACTCGAACCGTCCTGACCGCGTAGCTCTGTTGGAAGAGCATTGGGTTAGTATTCCAAAGGTTGTAGGTTTGAATCCCACCGTGGCCGGGCATATTTTTCAAGCTCGCCCGGTGTGGATATGCACTCAGAGTAACATCGCAAACATACCAGACATTCCAACTTTCCCGATTTTACTGGGAGTCTCCCGAAAATTCATGCAATCTCCTGGTCTCCCGATTTTTATGAAATTCTCTCGATTTTTCAGAATATTCAGGAAATATTGTAAAAAATCATAAATATACTGTTTTTAGCACCATTAGTCTGTCTTGACCTTTTTATGAAGTTACTTTATGGCAATTTATAGGATCAGTTATAACAACATACTCCCAAAATGCAGGAAACGCCATTTCAGAAGACTTAATTTTTATTATATTTTCCTAGAAGTACTAGATTTCAATTCATTGAACCAGTCTCCCTAAATTTTACCTCCAGTAGTTGGAATGTCTGCATACACACAAAAAAATTATTATTGCAATAGATGAAGACGACAGTCCACAGCCATTTTTTGACACTGAAGAATTATTTCAACAGTTAAATCATGAGTGTATTGATGGAGCAACAGACGCAGAGGCTGATGAAGACAAGGTGAATATTTTTTACACTTGATGCAACTGTGTCTCTCAAGATTAAGGGGAGGGGTCTATTCTTAACTCAAAACACCACAAAATTGTGGATTGAGACAGAATCAAGTACCTGAAAAGACAAGTGAAGGTTCATTGTTTTGAGAGAAGGCCCTTTGTGAAGTTAGTAGCTGATGAAGGGCCTTAATTCACTCACTTGAAAAGGCAAAGTTTTACTTGTGTTTTTCAGGTGGATCAATCCATCTCAATCTGCAGTTTTCTGGCTCTATTCCTATTTAGGCTGTTTTCTGTTAATAATAATAATAATAATAATAATAATAATAAGTCTTACAAATATTATAAATAAATATATATACATATACATCTTTGAAGGTAAAAGTTGATTTGAATCCACTAGACTGTCAGCGTGTATCTAAAATATAATCTATTTACAAAACTGTTCTTGAAGCGTTCAGTATTAATTTTTGGCAAGCATCCTTGACCTTAGGGAGAAGTGAATGTATAGTGGGTGGCAGGCATTAACTCTAATTTTATGAAACAGTCTTTTATCAAACTGTTTCAGAAGTTCATGAACATTGAACTGTTTTGATGTAATATGTGAACAACGAGAGCGAGTGTTTGGATATCCCGGTGAGACACGAGCTCGAGGTGTTTATATGGCTTCTCAAATGAATCGAGACGTAACAGAATGTTTTCGTTTGCTGATTTGAATAGAATTCTTAACCAAGCATAACGTAATTAGGAATTCTATTCAAGTAATTTTGCATGCGTAATTAAGATATTTGATGAAACCACTATAGTGACTTTCATCAAGTTTCACCGGGTTATCCAAATGGCATCTTGTGATCAAATAGGTGATTATCATTGGCTGAATTCCTCATGAATTATTAATGCTTTGAGAAGTATAATGCCTTCTAAAACATCTGTTCAAAAAACTCTGTTTCACATTCACCTCAGCGTTACAAGCTCCATAAACCGGGAGGGCATAGGTTAGCTTCGATAATACGACAGATTTAAAAAATAAGTCAATATCTTCCTGATTGTATTCTTCTTTTCTCAAGCCTCGAATTACGTACAAGCATCTGTTGGCCTCACCCAGTTTGGCTTTAATATGCATCATGAACTTGCTTTTGGACTGAAAAGTTAACCCATTTAAGCTCCAGCACTATCAATACAATTATATCTTGTAAAATACAATGTTATGTTCTCCATACCTTTCTTGGTTTTCTCCCAAATCAGAGTCCATTTACACTCCTAAAGCAAAGAATGACTCGAGTAACAGATGACGAAGGTGTCTACAAGATGATTGTCAAGAAAGGGACTGGTGAAATTGTTACACCTGGAGCAATTTGTCGAGTTCACTACAATGGATACATAGAATATAGGGGTGAACCTTTTGACTCAACCAGACTGAGAAATAGACAACAGCAAATCCGACTTGGAGCAAGTAAGTTGAGGTTTGAGAGCTTAACCCATTGAGTCGCAACGTGCCCCAGTGCACGTTTTTTTTACTTGTCTAACACCAGACGATTTTACTCGTCAATGCATGCAGGGGAAGCTCTGCAGCTTAATGGGTTAAGCAAGCAAAATCTCTGGGTAAGATGTATGTCAATTGGAAGTGACTCAAGCTGTTATAAATGATGAGTTGTGGTGACAACAGTTCTTGCTTGAAATCAAGAATGGCAGTCAATGAAGTTTTACGTTCTTGATGTCAAACAAGAGTGGCTGTCGGCACCATCATCTATCTATAACAGCTTGATTGACTTCCGGTTGATATACCGGAAGTGTTGTCGAAAACATTGCTTGCTTACTACGCATTTCACTGACATGTGCATTCCGCATTTTTTCTCGCTTCCGAACGGCGTTCGACGGTCGACGTTCGACACAGGCCTGGTTACAAAATTTGGCGCCTTTTCAAGTTTTCATCAATACTTCTGTCATTCAAGACAAGACATTGACTATTTATATCAACTTCGGAAAATTCAAACTTGAAAAGGCGCCAAATTTTGTAACCAGGCCTGCGTCGAACGTCGACCGTCGAACGCCGTTCGGAAGCGAGAAAAAATGCGGAATGCACATAGTATAGTATAGTATAGTAAAACTTTATTTAACCACGCTTCCCTCATCACCCATGGATGATTTTCATGAGGGGCGTCACACAAATTACATTCTAAAAACTAATATAAATTAAATATGAAATAGAATAACATAGAATAACAAATACGTAGATAAAAAAGTTAAAAAAACCAAGACTATTCGATGCCTGACTCTGTAGCACACATTATTTTATCAAATATTTGAAGCTACTTAAAGATTCTGTTTGCTTTGCCTGTGTAGGTAAACTATTCCATAGAACAGCCCCGCTATATCCAAAACTCTTTTTTAAATATTCAGTACGTGGTTTAGGAACTGAAAGATTTATATCAGCATTTCTGAGATTATAATTAGTACTAAGATTTATGTCCCTTGTTACAAATTTATCCTTTAAGTTCGGAGCTGAGTGGTTGTTTAATATTTTAAACATCAAGACCGATTTATTCATTTTATGTCTGTCGTTCAGATTTTTCCATGACATAGCATGGAGCAAATCTGTCGACCTGACATCATAATTGGCACCTGTCATGAAATGCGTAGTAAAGTTCTCTATTATGTTGCTTCCAACTGTGTCAATGGATTCCCAAGAACTAGACATAAAATAATATATATTTTCATTCCATTCAGGTTTCATTCTTGGATTTGATGTTGCCATGGCAACAATGAGAAAAGGCGAAATTTCGAAGTTCATATTTTCTCCTGCTTATGCATACAGAGAGATGGGCTGCCCGCCAAGAATTCCTCCAGATACAAGTGGTAAGCAGTAGAGGTTTGCATCGGATCGGATTGGACATTTATAATCCGACAATGAACCTTTAACTTTATATCTAAAATTTTGATCTAGACGAGTCTAGACAAAAATTTCATCGCAGCTTGAAAGAGCATCACAAAATTAGTAATATTCCAAAGTTTCATTGCAAAACGTTGTAAAATGCGGATAATATAGCTTTGCGAAGTTTGCCGTTTTTCAGTCATTTTGTATTACGCACGGGAAATTGACAGCCCAATCGGGTGTTGGGGCATCAATTTCCCGTTTGTAATACAAAATGACTGAAAATTGCAAATTTCGCAAGGCTATATTATCCGCATTTTACAACATTTCGTAACGAAACTTTTGGAATATTACTAACTTTGTGATGCTCTTTCAAGCTGTAATGAAATTTTTGTCTAGATCAAAATTTAGTCTATAATGCAAATGGTCCATTGCCTAATGTTCAAAATCCGATCCGATCCGACTTTTGATAAAGAATTCCGATCCGATCCAAAGAATCCTTTATTAGCTTTAATAAAATAAACTTCTCATTCAAGTGGAAATATTTATATTAACCAAATAATAATTATTATTTATATATAATATTATATATTTCATTTTATGTCGAATGTTGAAGTTCGATCCGACTACGAAACAACTTTGTCAATCTGATCCAATCCGAAATGAATATTTTTGTTCCGAAATCCGAGGAAAATCAATTAAGCATAATTCAAAGGTCAGTGATTTCAATGTTTTTAACATTTTTTAACATTTTTAATGCTAAAAACATTGAGTTCACTGATCTTGAATTATGCTTAATTGATTTTCCTAGTTAGTTTTTTCAATTAACAATTGACAGGGTGTGTTAGGCTCATAGGTCTGAGGCAGATCATTAACGAGGTATGGACTAATAGCGGCTGCTCAAGCGCCATTTGTGAGCTCAAAGTATACCTCGGTCTGCTTCACGTCAGTCCGGTTCTATCTATCTATTCATAATGTAACCAGTCACTGAAAAGCCCTGATAGGGAGTGTGCTGTGAAATATCTGTAATCTATCTGTAATCTGTAATAGTTAACATGCACAACTCAACGAAAACGAACGTATAGCCTCATTAAACGAACGATCTATTCGTCGAAATGCATAGAAACTGTCCTGCTCATTGGTAGAGACAGCACGTCATGAACTATCGTCTGATATTGAACCGAATATTATAATCACACACCGTTCCACGTAACAAACGGTGAGCTAATTCTCATTGGTTGAGACAGCTGACAGCACAACATGAATTTGCGACTGGTGTTACACAGCGGACGGACTTATACAGGGTGTCTCAAAAAAAACCAAAATCATTGAAATAACGTATTGTTCGAATTTCAATGCCGTAACACAAAGGATTTTGACAGGGTGATTAATTTGTTTTAAAAAATTAAAATATCTTTGTAAAGTGAACGTTTGTTTGCTCATGGGAATTTAAAATGCTTCGTAAATTGTAATATGCGTAATATGCATTCGTGGGTTTAGTACTTTATGCCTGACATAACAAGTTTACGCTGAGTATTACCATTCATTATAGCAGTTATGTCAATCTTTTATGCACTCGTGGGATTAACTTAGTGCTAGGGCATTGAATATCGAACAATACGTCAATTTCAATGATTTTGGGTTTTTTTGAGACACCCTGTATATACTCGTAAGGACAATACAATTATAAGTTGTTCGAAATCCATTGTCAAATATTCAATATTTTAGAAAGGACTCGACACTTGCCCATGTTAAACTACAAGACAAATGTTCATTGTTCATATTGACAGCCAGGCATTGCTGTAATTCGTTGAAAAAGTCCGGACCATTAAACTCATAACTCACAAAGTTAGGAAACAAAACTCCCTCAATACGTGAAGTTGGGATGTTTGCTTGGGCACCAGTTATTGCAAGGAATAATAATTTATAGAAACGCTGAAGTAACATGCAGATTAGCGGTTAACAATTAATGCATGCATGGTTTACTTCGTTATTTAAGCTGCGATACCTTTCTTCCTCTAACAATTATTCAATATTCCCACTCAGTACACACAAATAAACGGAAAATAAAAGATTAAGTACAACTGATAAAAATTGCGGAGCGGTTGCAATCTCATGTAACTCGTCCATCGTGTCTACGGTTGAAAGGCATAAAGCAATTATTAAAGTATACTTGCATTTAATATTTCCATAAAGACAAGGATGAAAAGTGCAATTTGCATCGCTATTCATGCAGAGAATGTCAAAAAGTATGTGTATGCCTAAAACCAAATAACACATCCCAAAGACTATATAAAACTTCGGTATAGTTTTTATTCAATTTATAGCCATTTGCTAAACAATAACTATGTTTTGATATATATGCATGTTTAATTGTAATCTTGACATATAAAATAAGCTATCCTTATTAACATAACTGAATATTCGTTCGTTTTCGTTGAGTTGTACATGTTAGCTAATGCACCTTAAAAACCATCATTCAAAAGGCCGAACTGTGTCTTTAAAGCAGCGCAACTGTTACCATTAAATCGTTTGTGTATTACATTTTTAGTGTTATTTGAAATTGAAATGGTTAGTTTTGTGGACCAGGCAGCATCAGACGAATTTTCTGAATTTCCTACGGTAATTTAAGCCAATCATCATCATTGTTTTTTTGTAGATTATACAATATATCTCGCTTCTTATTATTTAGTTGTTAATCAACTGTTCTATATAGCATTTAAAAATCATTGAAGGTCGTCAATAGTAATTGTGTTTTTTAGGAAGAAAGAAATAAAGCCTCTTTTGAAAGTATTCATGAAGTAGCACATTCATTTCGAGAAGTATGTGAGAAATTTGAATCAACTTTTATGCTGTCAGTTTCATGCTTCTTTGAAAAGAATTACACATGTCAAGTTAATAAATGAAGGCTTTTGATTTCAATTTAGACTGGAAATGATTTATTCAGACAAAATGAATTTTATCGAGCTATCAAGAAATACGATAAAGTAAGAATTCTGAAATATATAAGGTGTTCATGCTCGACATGATTTATAAGACAGATGATCCCTCTGTTTTCTGCATTTATACTATAAACAAATGAATTATCAAACAAACTTTCTTTGCCCATCAAACATGATCATCATTTCCAGGATAAATCAGGTCAATGTCATATTCTTGCAGGGTATTCAACTTCTGGAAACTTGTCGTGTTCAGGATGCAACAGAAGAGAAAAAAATGAACGATACATTGTTATTGCTTTACATGAATGCATCGCTATGTTCTTTAAAACTTGGCCAGGGTTCTCGGGCGAAAACATTTGGTAGAAAGGTAATTTTATAAAGGCTGAGCTGATTCTTATTGGACCTCTAGGAGGAACAGTAGTTAGAACTGACGGAGCTATCCATTATAAATAAAGTTAGTTTAGTTTAGATTTTCTCCTGTAGTAACACTGGATCAATAAGAGATGATCCTCTTACTGGACCTCTAGGAAGAACAGTTTAGAACTGATAGAGCTATCGAGTATAAATAAAGCTAGTTTAGTTTAATAGATTTCTTCCTGTAGTAACACTGGATCAATAAGAGATGATCCTCTTTCTTACTGGACCTCTAGGAGGAACAGTTTAGAACTGATAGAGCTATCGAGTATAAATAAAGTTAGTTTAGTTTAGGTTTCTTCCTGTAGTAACACTGGATCAATAAGAGATGATTGTCACTGGACCTCTAGGGAAAACAGTTTAGAACTGATAGAGCAATCGAGTATAAATAAAGTTAGTTTAGTTTAGGTTTAATTTCTTCCTGTAGTAACACTGGATCAATAAGAGATGATTCTTACTGGACCTCTAGAGAGAACAGTATAGTTTAGAACTGATAGAGCTATATCTCTGTCTAGGCGCTGGACATAGACCCAAAGAACATCAAAGCAGTGTTCAGAATCGCTCAAGGTTTTCAAAAAGAAGGAGACTTTTCGAAAGCTCGTGAATGGTATTTGCGTGCACAAAGACAAGAACCAAATAACTCAGAAATCAGAGTTGCATTGCAGAAGTTAGACCAGTGAGTGACAACGAATATGTTTTGGGAATAATATGGAATAATGTCCGTGGTACGACGTAGACTGTCCCAGCTAGGAATGTTTGTCCCTAACAGTCATTCAACTTTATTCGAACAACGCAAATATGACTTATGTTTAATAAGTAAAATGCTGGTTTATACACTATCAAAGTTTCTGTGATCACAGTAGGAATTTTGCATAGGTAAATTCTACGTTTTGGAGGTTTGTAAGTTTGAGGGAATTGAGTCAGTGTTAAACACTAAAGCCTGGTTCACACATGCCTGCGGTATGCCTGCGACTGTATCATTATGCCTCTACTCCGCCGAAATACCGGCAAAGTTGAACTCAACTCAACTTTCCCGGCCTACCGCCGATGTAACTGTGGCACTGGAGGCAATCGGCGAACAAATATTCACATAATTTACGTTTTAAAGCTACCATCGGCATCGTCGCCGGTACGTCGCAGGCATATATGTGAACCAGGCTTAAGTCAGTATCCTCAAACATTTCTTACAAATCCTTCAAAACTTGATATTCATCTATGCAAATTTCTACTGAGAAACTTTGTTAGTGTAAACCAGGTGTAAGGTGGCTTCCTACAGTTGTCCCCATTTGCCCGACATCTCTACAGAGCACATGCCTATTAATGCAGATCTTGCATTCGTTTCTACTTGGAGACAATCTCTAACATCAGTGGTAGCATTTAAAAAAAAAGAAGGCCCGGTCAATCTTTGTTTTGATCGTGGCGGTTATTTATTTATTTATTTATTTAACTTCGCCAGGTAAAAATTACACGAAAGACATGCATACAATACAAATACAAAAAACTATACAAGTGACGAATGGCGGGGACACCACAACAGTTAAAACCAATTACTGCGGGCCCTTTTAACATATAGATTACATACAGATATCTAAAAGTAACAGTTGATAACATTGGTCAAGCTTCGACCAGAGTTACAATTTAAACATATAGATCTCCATGTTTTTGGGTCCTCTGCATCAAAACAACTGTGCAGGGCTTTCGAATAATATTGTCGTAATAAACTCTTAAATGTACTTAAACTTAAATTTGGTTGTCTTAAGTCTGTTGGAAGACAATTCCATACTCTCGTGACGCGGGTAATATACGATCGCTGGAAAGTCCTAGTCCTGCATTTGGTTACGTGGAATAGTCGACGTAGACGTCCCGCAAACATGCCCGCATGCTACTGTAGGGAGCCTCCTTATAAGTCAGTTTACAATGCTCTCGCTAGTGCTGTCAATACCCTCTGTTTCCATTTCTTCCAGGGATGTGCAACGATGGAGACTCAGTGAAAAACAGATGTGTAAGAGGATGTTTTGTGAAGCTAAGCCAGGCTCTCCAGGTTGGTTTTCATCACTCGTTTTGATTCATATTCAGCTGGAAGTGAGAAGGTGAGCGGGGGAATAATCTTGAATCGTTCTCCATAGTGTCTGCAAAAGAAAACATTGCACCAGAGCCTGAGGAAAAGCCTGCAACAGGGGTCTCAGAAGATGTCAAGTCTGTTATAATGAAACGATTGCGGTAAGTATCTAATGATGAATTTACAATTGTGAATTGTTTTGGTAAAAGTTACACGACAGCAGATGATACCAACGTCAAAAATGTTCACGCTAATAGGAGCACGAAAATTAAATTGCATATGACATGAAATTTCTTATTTTCTTAAGTGAAAGAACTCTTTAAGCTGTAGTGTAACTTATTTTTCAGTTTCTTGTTTTTATGGTTTGTTCCCGAGATATTTCAATTTGTTTGATATGTAAATGAGTGTGAATATGTCCGCTAATTTATGACATCATGTTGGTTGCAAACTCTTCAAAATGGTTGAATATCACTGCTATCATCCAAGATGATAATTTCAAACTTCGCTCACTGGTAAATGTGATGAAACACTGTAGAAAAACGTAAACTGATATCTACAGTTTTTAGAGTTAATACATTTATAACCAGTGTAAGTTGAGCTTGCAACCAACATGATGTCATAAATTAGCGGACATATTCACACTCATTTACATATCAAACAAATTGAAATATCTCGGGAACAAACCATAAAAACAAGAAACTGAAAAATAAGTTACACTACAGCTTAAAGAGATTTTCGTTTAAGAAAATAAGAAATTTCATGTCATATGCACTTTAAATTACACATCTCTTACGTTGATTTATTTACCACCAAAGACAAGACTGCTACATATAATGAAAGAATTAACATTATTTTCTCACTCTGATAACTGCGTGTTTAACTATTGAAATTTTTCTCACTACCAGGGATTTCCAAGCTGACGACAAACAGAATGAAATTACATTTCCCTCGTCTTTGACGACAAACGAAGTCAATTTCCTGGTTGAAGAAGCCAGAGGAAATGATCTGCATTGTATCACACCAACAAAGAAGGTACAGTATAGGTTGTCCCTGTAAACAGAATTTTCTTCGCTCTTGTAACTGCAGGTTCACCACCATCTGCTGCGCGATAGTGCTTAATTTTAAAGTTTCTGTGATGACAATAGGAATTTTGAGTGTGTGTGGGTGTGAATAGGTTTTCGGATCGTCGGATTTCACAGAAAAAATTGTTCGGATTTCGGATCTGGCGAATATTTTACACGGATTTTCGGATCTTATTAACACAGCGGATTGCGGATTTATCTAATATTTTGGCTCGGATTGTGGATTTAGCTTGCAATTTAGTTCGGATCCTGGATTATGACTTCATAGTAGAGCTTTTAGCGGATTCAAATTTAGACAAGACCATTGTCGGATCGTGATAGGGGTGTCCCTATTCACACCCTCCCCCAGTGGGCATAAATTCTAAGTTCTGAAGGATTTGTAAAAAAATGTTTGGAGGTAGTTTCTTTACCTCGTGTCAAAATTCTTTTTCCTGGTTAAAATGTTTCAACTATATATTAAAATTTTAAACTACGTTTTTTGTTTTTGTTTCCAGATTTCGTACTTAAAGATAATGAAAGAAAAGCCTGAATAAGAATATTCCAGCGTTTGAAAATACATAAAAACATACTACACGAGTGAAACAATCGCACATTGAGTGTATACTATAAAGTTAATATATTTCTATTTGTAATAGTGTTTAATGTTCGAGGCACCAGAATACTGTAAAGGTGAATATATAAAGAAATATTTTAAGCCTGAAAAGTGAAGTGAACTTGAGAAATGTTGACACTTATATATAGGAGCAAGAATATAAATGTACATCTCTCAATTCTATTCATTTGCCTCCAAGTACAAGACTACACGCACATAAAAACGCTAGGGGTGCATCGGAACCAATTTTTTAAGTTCCAGAACCGGAACCGGATCCGACCGGAACTGGAAATATAAAGTCATATGTTACTTTGCCATATAAAGTCATATGTTACTTTGTCCGCTGCCAGACAGGCAGACACTTCAAGTCATCAAGGAGAGAGCTCGCAAATGTTAGAATAAAAAGATTGACAAACGTTAAACGTCATAATGAAGTGTTAATAGTGTACATTTCCCTTGCGTAGTCCAAATTTCTTCCCACTGTGAACTTTTGTTAGACACAAAAACGTTTGATATTCTATCTCTCTGAAAACGACAGAGTTCCGGTTCCGGCCATGTTTTTTATTAGTTCCGGCCGGAACTGAAACTCTGAAAGATCGGGGTTCCGGCCGGAACTCACCTAACCGGCCGGAACCGAGTTCCGGTGCACCCCTAAAAAACGTAAAAGTTGTTACAAGTCTGCAAACAAGTTGTTACAAATCTGTTCACAAGCTGTCGACAAGTTGTGTTCGCACTGCTTGTTCCCAGTTGTTGTAGCAAGTTTGGAACAAGCTGTTAACAACTTGCAACAAGTTTGATGGCATTATCAAACTTGTTACAAGGTGCTAACAAGTCTGATACAAACGTGATATAACAAGAATGTTACAAGGTTGATGACACAAGATTGTAACAGTATTGTTATATCATGACTGTATCGGACTACTTGGAACAACTCTACAACAAGTCTAATAGTATAAACAAGGTTGTTAACAGCTTGTTCCAAAGTTGTTGACAGCTTGTTCCAAAGTTGTTGACAACTTGGACAAGCAGTGCGAACACAACTTGCTGACGGCTTCTTGGCAGACTTAGAGATGGGAATGTTACGACTGATCAGGGGCGAAACTATCGGGGGGAAGGGGGGTGACACACACACTCCAGTTTATCTCGTCGGGTATATCCATACAATTTCGTCGGGCAAATTTTGAAAATATTTGATTGTCTCGGATTGAAAAGTAATAGTCGTAGGAAAAATTTTGATAAATTTACGAAAGTATTACTGAAAAATTTTACAAATGACGGTAAATTATTTCCAAATTTAGTGAAGAATGCTATGTCCGGACATTTTTTCACCCCCAGCCGTAATACCGACGTTTCGCCCCTGCGATTGATACAACTGAGAAATATCGCTCCGTCGAGGAGGTAGAAGAAGCGCTGAAGTAGATACTAGATAGTGAAGAAACGAATGAGATGTTTTGGACATTTGATAGAACGGATGATGGGAAATTTGAGAGCATGAATGCAACCTCTAAGAGGAAAGATTCAGAGGAAGACGAAGGATAAGATGGAGTGAGGGAAATTCTGTGTACAAAGGACTCGTACGTTCATCTTGACGGGTGAGTGGTTTGTTTGCCATGTGTAAACGTAGATGAATAGTCAGACACGCCCCCCAAAAGCTACGTTTTTAGCTAGCCCCTGTTTCCAAAACGTCACACGTCCGCGGCCTGAAATTTTCGAACTGCTGTTAAGGCCTGATTCCACGAGCGCTTTTTGTCAGCGAAATGCGAAATATTTCGCCTGTTTCTTTTGAATTGCGACCACTCGAATAAATTATTTCTACTTGATTGCTCACAATTCAAAAGAAACAGGCGAAATATTTCGCATTTCGCCGACAAAAAGCGCTCGTGGAATTAGGCCTTTATAGTTTGTTTCGAAACAACTTTTTATTTGATTTCCAGTTCAATTTTGTAAACACAAGTTCGGAAAAGCGATGGTAAGATGTTTGTTTAATATTTGCTTATATCCTGCAGTGTTAGGAGTGATGAATGTATTTTTATTGATTTTCAGACTACCTATACTGATAAAGATCCCAAGGTACTTATATTACATAATACTTTTAAAGACTGAAGTGGAAGTCAAATCCGTAATTTAAACAAACGGTTTGTTTACATTTTGAACTGCTGTATTTTTTAAAATATGGTGTACTGTCTGAATATCTAACACCATTTTGGTTCGCTATGCTTCTAAATGAATATGAAATAGAGTTTATGTTCAGAAAAATTCGAAACATTCGATTGGGCAATGTTCATACTGAGAGGGTCCTCACATTGTTATGAGCAGAACCGATGCGCAGAACGGACTTGGCTTCCACTTTAAACTAAAGTGCTTTTTTACATTAATTAGGGACACTCCACCCCGCGAACAGATGTCGCTCATATCAGGGTTCGTATAAAAGCTTTATATGAGCCTACACTGAAATGAACATTCGTTCGCCTCAATTGTTTTTCTTTTGCGCGAAATTTAACTTTGTTTCAGCGCCTTTGTCGTCCATTACCGCCGCCAGGTTTGTTGAATCGCGGGCGAATGCGGTCGGTCCTATGAGAACTATGACGTAAGAGTGTGAAAGAAACAAATTACTCTTTATTAAACTTTAGAGCTTTTTTTAAAAATATTTTTCAACGCTAAGATCGTTGCTTGGTTCCAGAGTGTCACGGAAAACTGTGAGAATCAGCCACAACAGAATCGCAAAAGAAAAAGGTCTGCGACATGAGCGTGGCTGGCGAGAATTTGCAGAGTGAAGTAGTAAACCTACGCGATTTAGATCATTCATCTGTTTGGTTTATTCGGCGTTCGGTGCATTTTACGCCTTAATCACATAGAGGGCAAAATTACTCGAATATGATTGGTTAATGATGAGGGCATTTTTTCTTAATTCAAGGCAAAATTACTTGTACCTGATTGGCTGAGACGCAAGCGCGGAAAGTTTCTTGTTTTAAATAGCAACAAAAACAATGGTTTCCCTGAACTATTTTCTCGCTTTGTCGTTGCGGATTATGATGTTAATAGGGAGTCTAGCTTCACGTTTCCGGGAACGGCAAACGGCAGGTTCGAACTTTCTTGGCAAAATTTTCGTTGAACGTTTTCGTTTCATATTTTCTTTCTTGCGTCGAAAGAATAATTATGTATTTCAGTTTTAAAACAGCAAGTTTATTTATTGCCTGATACCGTAAAATTTATCTTTGCGTGGCGTTTGCCGTTTGTTGTATATAACACGAAGCTTAAACTCTCTATTGAAGAATTAAAAACTTCTAGTGAAAACTCGAACACTAGAAAAAGTACAAATTTATGGGTTAGAGTTAGGCTATTAAGAAATGGGCAACATAATCAAGGAACGTCGGCGAAGACATGGAGACATTAGACATACGAGGTTCAAGAACTTGACAAGTTCACAATCTACTCAATAATAAATTTTGCCCTTTATATCAACAAGTAATCGCATAGTTTCTCGTAAAATTAAGGTTTAATTTCACTTGTGTTTTCAGAGTTTCATCAAACTTTGAAAACACGCATGTGAAAGTAAACCTTAATTTTACTCGGCCCCATGCGATTACCTATACGAATACTTCGCAAGAACGCTAGAATTTGTGCGTGGCTAATTCCAACAAAGGCCAAAGCTAAAACCAGACGCGATGGCATCTATACTCCCACGCTATAAGCCAGAGAAACACAGGGTGAAGAAGAAATCAAGGGGTGGTGTCCCCTTCTTTTTTTTATTAACTTTACAATCATATATAAAAAATACACATGCAGCTATGATTGAAGGATTGGACAACAGAACTAGAATCCCATACTAAGTCCATCCATCTAACACTAGAACACGACATATTACGGACTACAAACTGGACAACGTAATACTGATTTTACAGGCCTCAATACACTATATAAAACACGCAAGAATCAGCGGCGTAGCCAGCTCGATAATTGGGGGGGAGGGGGTTCCATATTCATATATTCGTGTTCTGCATTATTAATTTCTTTTGAAATCGTTTGTTTTTAAGGTCTGTGAACACGAATATATGAATATGGATCCCCTAATTATCCGAGCTGGCTACGCCGCTGGCTAGAATAAATACTACACTACTGTGAAATTATTTGTGAGGTTCAGATTTGACCACCACCAGCACCACTAGTTAGAAACCACTTACCACTTACATGCAAACCAGGTCAGCACGAGGTAGTGATAGTGGTAATGGAAGTCAAAAGTGAGTCCAGCCATTTTACACCAGACTTTAGTCCTAACAACATGTACTTTACAATATAACTTTAATCGGAGTTGCTGTTCTTTTGTATTTTGAGTGGTTCCTGTAATTATTTAATTACGTAGCGTTGTCGCTTGATTTGAACTGATATGTTTTACTGAGAGTAAATTTGAATATAGAAGTCACATCCATAATGTCAAGAAGTCACATCCTTAATGTCGCAAATTGACGTTTAGGGTGGGTAGGTGGGTCAAAACCATTACCTTGTGACATTAAATAATCTTGCCTTAAGCAGGAACGTGGGGAGGATGGGGGGGTGGTGTGTAACACCCCACACAAACGTTTTACCTTCTAAAAAAAAACTCACAAGCATTCAGTTTTTCCATTGCAAATTTGATGGAGTTGGACCTTTGAAAAGTTTGTCAAAATGTTAGGGTCAAAGTGCAATAAACAGTTCACTCTATGTATGCACATTATATTTGGACCGGCAAATATATGAAAATATTTAGCTTTCTTTGCTCCCATAAGTTTCAATACATTTGAAGTTGAGCACCATGTGTACAGCACCATGTCAAATGCTGAAACCTACAAACATGCATAATGTCTAGTTGTGAACTTCCCTTTTCTAGCCAGATACTGGTCGATTTCTGGCATTTGATCACGTCACACTTTGGGTTGGTAATGCTAAACAGGTAATGACCCGACTTTATTGTTTTCCTTCCAATTTTCAATAGCAAATCTTCATCCAAACGAATTTCCTGCAGCTGTTTAACATTTCCTGCGAGCAGTGCTCGCCTATTTTTTCCATTCCTAGTTATTTTACTTTGTCTAATGCCAGATGTAATTTTTCTCGTCAAGGGGAGTGCTAGCTAGTATTAACTCAATGGGTTAATAGTTTTATATTATTCCAGGCTGCATCATATTACTGCACTCGTTGGGGATTTGAGATAATTGGATATAAAGGCCTGGAAACTGGCTCAAGAGAAGTTGTGTCATATGCCTTACGTCTGGATAAGGTATGGAACTACAACTCACAAAATGATCACGACCTGAATCAATATTCACCTTCTTTTAAAATGCCCCCCCCCCTCCCTGAAAGGATCTGCCCCTTCCCATTTCAGAAGAGTCTTCCCTCCCTTTCTTCACAAATGTCCCCCACCCTTACTCTAATAGGATGTTCTAGCTTCTCCCTTGAGGATAAGAATCCTCACCCTCCATGCTATGGTATGTTCTCTACCCTTGAAACACACCCTCCCCTAACCCCCTGCCCCCTTGCAAATTCGCCCAATGACATTCATCCCCTCTGATCCTCTCTTGAAGAATCTCTATCTGCCATGTGAAACCTGATCTTCCGATGTTATGATAAAAAGGACATTTGATAAGCACCAACTGGTGTGTATTAATCATCACTCATGCCAACCATCATTGATTCACCCTGTATGTTTTTTTTGGTAGATTGTGTTTGTTGTACAGTCTCCATTGAACCCAACGGGAACAACATCAGAAAGTAGGTTCATTGATAATTCATGAAATTAACCAGGAATTTGTAACCAGGTTTACATTCCTGTAATTCTCAAAATTTCCTGGGGGCTTTGCCCCCTTATCCCCAAGCCTGTCCACTAGTGACTGTGCCCCCAGACTCCTGCTGCAGCTTGCTCTGCGTAGCGCCCCAATTAGCCATTTCCCAAAGTCCTGGGTCTAGTCGCGCAAATCCCAGGTACGAGGGACAAGAAATATGGCAGCACACATTTAAATTAAAAGTTTAATGTAAAAAGGAGATATTTCATTTTGGTGGTCTAAAATTTGATATTTTTATGGTCGATACTTCTATTCTTTCACTTATTTGACGCCTGTCACCATATATTTTGTCCCTCCAAATGATCCCAGAATGCACGGTGATCTCTTTTGGGAAAAGGCTAATAAACTCCATTAAGATCTTTGTGTACGTTTTCTTTGGTTAGTTATGGGTGCACATTTGGCAAAACATGGAGATGGTGTGAAAGATGTTGCTTTTGATGTTGAAAATTGTGTTGGAATTTTTAAAGTAAGAATTTGTTTTTGCAATGAGTTCCAGAAAAGATCCACCCTACCCCCAATGAAGGATATTTCTGCCGTCTTGCGGAGGTTAACTAGTATGGAGGTTTTATGGAATGACCCATTTGTTGAAAAATTCAGTCTTTTCGAGCAAACATTTATTGTCAATTTTTCATCCAGGCGGCTGTGAATCGAGGAGCTCAGGTTGTCAAAGAACCGTGGGAGGAATCGGATGAGAACGGCAAAGTGATATTTGCATCGATACAAACAGTATGTGGAGAAGTTTTTAAATTTTGATTGACGATATTTGAGACCTGGAAGTAACAAATTAAACGTCTAACGAGCTTCTAATTACGGTAATTTATCTTTCAAGTTTGGCGAGGTTTGTCACACGTTTGTGGAACGAAAGGATTACAAAGGCAATTTTCTGCCTGGGTATAAGAAACCAGCATTTGAAGATACACTTCTTAAAACATTGTAAGTGTTTGAAACTTAGTTCTGCAGCGTCAGCGAATCATTTAGGAATTTTATACAGATTTTTTAAGGAGTTTGAAAGATTTCTCAATTAGCGATTTTCGGGTATTTTTCGAGGTGTACGAGATTTTTACTGGACCACCACGTTTGACATAATCTTCATATTTCTTTATAGGCCTCAAATCGGGCTAAACTTTATTGATCATATTGTTGGGAATGTGCCAGACAGGGAAATGGTTCCAGTAACTGAGTGGTAATTCTTGTCATTTAAACAGGTTTCTTTTCGGTGGGCCTGCACGCGGGCTGAGGTTTCGTCAGTGTACAATTCATTAAAGCTAAGTCGTTTATTCTCACATAGGTACAACAAGACACTACAATTCCATAGATTTTGGTCTATAGACGATTCACAGGTTGGTTTATAGCAAATCAGGGATGGCATCGCATGAATCGACTTGAAACTAACTTATATACTAACTTTATTTATACTGGATAGCTCTATCAGTTCTAGACTGTTCTCCCTAGAGGTCCAGTAAAGTTCATCTGTTATTGATTCAGTGTTACTACAGGAGGAAACCTAAACTAAACTAACTTTGTTTATACTGGATAGCTTTATCAGTTCTAAACTGTTCTCCCTACAGGTCCAGTAAGAGTCATCTCTTATTGATCCAGTGTTACCACAGGAGGAAACCTAAACTAAACTAACTTTATTTATACTGGATAGCTCTATCAGTTCTAAACTGTTCTCTCTAGAGGTCCAGTAAGGATCATCTCTTATTGATCTAGTGTTACTACTGGAGGAAACCTAAACTAAACTAACTTTATTTATACTAGATAGCTCTATCAGTTCTAAACTGTTCTCGCTAGAGGTCCAGTAAGGATTCATCTCTTATTGATCCAGTGTTACCACAGGAGGAAACCTAAACTAAACTAACTTTATTTATACTGGATAGCTCTATCAGTTCTAAACTGTTCTCGCTAGAGGTCCAGTAAGGATCATCTCTTATTGATCTAGTGTTACTACAGTCTTATTGTCCAGCGTCCGTTCTATGGGAGGAAACTGAAGTATTTAATTGGAGAAAACCTGCAGTGTTTGGTAGAGTCCAATTGGAAGCGAATTCTTGCATGCAACTGGCATGAAATTATAATCAGACACTAACTATATATACTATATAGCATGAATCAAACCCTGCTGCCATGATGTCATTTCAGCAACCCATGATGTCATTTCCCTCATCAGGTTGACACAGGTTACAGCGCTCTTAGGTCGACTGTGGTGACAAACTACGAGGAAACGGTGAAAATGCCGATCATTGAACCAGCTGCAGGCAAGAAGAAAAGTCAAATCCAGGAATATGTTGATTACTACGGCAGTGCTGGAGTTCAACATGTTGCTCTGAATACTGCAGATATACTCACTACTGTAAGTTATACCTGCGAATGTTTTAACGTGCTTAAAAAACAACCCATCTTATGAATTTATTGGCGAAGTAATTTTAAAAATAAACATTGCATAAAAGCGGTTTTCCAGTCCTCGCACGAAGCTCCTCGCAGCTCGCTGCGAGTGCATGCATGAGCACTTTCATCCAATCACAATGCAAAACAGTTCATTTTAATTAGATGCAAGCACTCGTAGCGAGCTGCGAGGAGCTTCGTGCGAGGACTGCAAAACCGCCTTAAGCAGAGAAAATCAAAGCTGAACTTTATGTAAATCAGGACAAATCTTTATCCGTTTTACAAACATTGATTAAACATTCATTTCTTTTGTATTTTCCTCGTGAATTATTAATGAATTTTTGTGATGGTATATGGCATTTATTGTTTTTCTAGCATTCATTTCTTTTGAATTTTCTTCATAAATTATTAATGAGTATTTTAAGTCAGTGTTTTCAATAGGAGGCGGTTACCGGCGGTTCACCGCCGCCTATTTCGCCTCTGACAGCCGGTTATTTTTTCGTTTACTGTAATTTTCTAGCGACATAAGATTGTATTATTTTATTGAAAATAGTATAAAGTAAGTGACTAGGGATCCAAGGATAGTGTAAAGTTTCAAATTGAAAAAGACACGACACGAACTGTATAAGGTCGCCGACAACCTAGAACAGTAAGAGCAGGCATAGGCTAAAGCAGCCATGGATTAGAACAACGTTCTTAGGGGATAAACAATTCCTTATCAGTCCCTTCGTAACTCGTTTATTAAATGTTGAATTGCAAGGGCTCTTATTTGGGCATGACGACTTTCTGTTTTGTAAAGTTGATAGCTTACATTACGAAATAAACAGTTACCATGATCCTCTTGGAAAGCATACTCATGCATGTCTTTCCAAAAATGGACTTGAAGCCGTACTATTACCTACACTAATCCTATACAGATGAGTATTATATTAAAAGTTAATATTATCACTAAAAGTAAGAGCAACATATTATTACAAAAGTTTACGGTGGGAAGAAGAAAGAAGTCCAAATCAGTCTTAAATTTATAGCAGATTGCTTTTTACTGAATAAACCAAAGAAAAGATTGAAATTTGGCTTTCACTTGAAATTTTTGAACGCAGACGCCTATTTTTGAAATGCAGTCCGCTATGATGATTATTATTGAAAACACTGTAAGTACTAGTTAAAACACGAGCAGGAATGCATGCTTTATCTAATATAAAAACGACGTCTCTTATGAATTCATTGGCGAAGTAATTTTAAAAATAAACTTTGTCAAAGCCGAGAAAATCAAAGCTGAAGTTTATGTAAATTAACGTAATTTTTTATCACATAAAACCACCAACAACAGTGATTTCTTTTATCTTTTCCTCGTGGATTATTAATGAGTTTTTAACTGGTTGTACAAAGCCCATATAACGCTCAACCTCGTTCTCAGTGTAGAGGAGAGAGCCTGGGGACGATGTAGTATATATAACGCTTTGGACTGGCATGGCTATCGGCTTGGACATAAAAACCGTTGCTAATGTTTGGAATCCAGTTTTATTTTGCTTCACTAGTGTGTCTCTGACTTTGTTTATTAACTGGAGGGCATAATTTTTATCCGTGTAATGAAACTGTGGGAATAGTTACAGTTTTTCTTCACGTCCTTAAGCTCGCTGTTGACAAGTCTGGAACACGTTGTTATCATCTGGTAACAAGCTGAGGTTGATGAGGCCAACAAACTAGCTCGCAACAAACTGTTCCAACAAATCTGATAATCGTCTGCACGTAACAAGTTGTCAACAAGTTGATGACAACGAGCTCGTAGCAACTTGTTACGAACAGCCTGTATTGGTCTTGTTTGGAACAACTTGTAGCAAGTTTGTTACCGTCATCAACCTTGTAACAAGGTGATAACATCTTGTTCCAAACTTGTAACAACAACTGGGAACAAGCCGTGCGAACACATGGTGCCGACAACAACCTTGTTACAACTTGTTTACAGATCTGTGTGACATCTTGCGCGTTTTTTCGTGTAGATACAAAAACTGAAAGAAAGAGGAATGGAGTTTCTTACGATTCCAAAATCCTACTACGGAATCTTGAAGGAACGTCTCAAATCCTCGCGGACAAAGATCAAAGAATGCATGGAGACGATTGAGAAACTAAATATCTTGATTGATTTTGATGAGAATGGCTACCTGCTTCAAATTTTCAGCAAGCCTGTCCAAGATAGACCCACGTTATTTTTGGAGGTTATTCAAAGACAGAATCATCAGGTATATAATGCATGTTATTTTGGGAAGGGACGCTACCATAAAGCCAAATTTACACTATCAGAGTTTCTGTAGTTTCTGTGATCACAGTAGGAATTTTGCATACCTAAAATTCTAAGTTTTGTAGATTTGTAAGAAATGTTTGAGTGTCTAATACAGGTGATGGTCAACTAGTTTAGAAATGTTGAAACTTATCAAAGCAAGTTAATAAACAATTCCCATTATAGACTAATTTTAAATCTAGCAGGAGACGCAAAAAAAATCACCACAGCTAGAAAGAGCATACTGAAATTAGTAAAATTGCAAAGTTTGGTTGCGAAACTGTTGTAACATGCGGAAAATATAGCCTTGCAAAGTTCGCAAATTTCGTATACTTTTGTATTGCGTGCGAAAATTGCTACCATTTTCGGCCCAAATGACAGAAATGTGCATGCAAAAGTTATACAAAATTTGAAAACTTTGCAAGGCTATATTTTCCGCATTTTACAACATTTCGCAACCAAACTCTGCAATTTTGCTAATTTTAGTATATGCTCTTTCTAGCTGTGGTAATTAATTTGCATCTCCTTGCCTATATTTTTAAAATAGTCTATAATGGGAATTGTCTATTACAGTTCGAACGGGCAAACCGAGGCCACTTTTGCATATTTTTTATGTTTTCAAACTAACTAAAACCAATCACCATCGGGATATTTTGACTAAACATTTTCAGGTTATGAACTTATAGTGACATAGCCATAGGTCTATAAATAACCCGCTGGTGATTGCCGATTGGTTTTGGCTTAGTTTGTGAAAACATTAAAAATACGCAAAAGCGGCCCCGGTACCGGTTTGCCTGTTCCGGCGAGCTGTACACTACATCTCTTTAATTCTATTTATTTGCCTCCAAATACAAGACTACTACATCTATTGAAACGAATGAACATTATTTTCTCACTCTGATAACTGCAGGTTGACCTGCAGGTCGCTAGATAGTATACTTCAAAATAAGGTTTCCGTTTTTATAACGTAGAAAAAAACTATCCTAACGCAAAACTAAACCCTAACCCTAATACTAACCCTAACCCTAACCTAACCCTAACCCTAACCTAAACCCCAACCTAACCCTAACTTATTTTAATTATTTTAAAAATTGATATAAAAATGGAAACCTTAATTATTTTGAAGTATACTATCTAGCAATTGCCCTGTACGACAGTACTTAGTGAAATAATGGGTGAAGCACACTTATACAGGCGGCGCAATTAAATAATTTTATCCTTAATTTTTCTCAGGGATTTGGGGCTGGCAACTTCAAAAGTCTTTTTGAGTCAATTGAGAAGGAACAGCGTGAACGCGGGAACTTATAACGAGGTGTTAGCCAGGGCAGAACGAAAATAAGTTAAAATATTTATCTTGCAAAACTTTGGGAATTTTAGTATATGCCATTAATTAAAGAGAAATGGCAATATAAATTTTTATGTTCTGATTTGAAAGAACTTTTGAAACTATATATTAACTTCTTTTACAATTTACCGATTTTTCATATCTTGCTTGAACCAATGAGATGTCCGTCAAGCATCTTGAATAAATTTTTTATCTCATCCAGTAACGGTAGTTTTGGTGACGTCACAACAGGGATTAACCATATAAAAGTATTCGTTGCTGACCAAATATTGATTGGTGGATGTTTTAATGGTTTTGAGTGATCATGATATTTCGAAGGGCAGACAGAGAGTATAGTTTTGATTGCAAAATTATTAGTGGTTGTCTAGATAGGGGTCGTCTAGATAGTGGTTGTCTAGATAGGGGTTTAGGGATCTTTTTTTCGGGGTCGATAGTGGTTGTCTAGATAGGGGTCTAGGGGTCGTTTTTTAAGCCATTTAGAACACTCGCAGTACGTACTTTATCAGGTATAAAACACTTGAGATGCGCTCTCCTGTTTTATATCTGATAAAGCACTCTTGCTCGTTTATTAAACAGTACATAAATCATAACTATAAGTATTCGCTCATACAAAAATTTTCCGGAACCTAACAAAAATTGGGAAAAATCTAAAAATTTACCACAAAATTTACAGAATTTGTCAAAATTGCCCGACTGTTCAGCGAAAATTGCCCGACTACCCCCCCCCGGTACGCCTATGTGAATAATCAGACAAAACATCTTTTCTTTGTGAAGCTGTGGCTGCGGACTGATCAGGATACAACTACCTGAAAAATACAAGGAGAATTTTTAGACGTTTTGAGCGAAGGCCCTTCGTCAGGAAGGTAGCAGCGGGGGTCGGCGATTTGTAAAACTTGAACTTGAGTCCCCGTTTTACAAATCATGTCTCAGACAGCTGACTGAGTCCATGTTATCCGAGTCCAGTCCATGTCTCGTGCCATCCCGACTCTGGGTACGTGATTGAAGTTCGTAGACCGACATCCGTCACTTTGGCCCAACCATGCGTCATGTCACGCGTTGTCCATGTGGGCTGGTCATGCCTGTGGTTTTGCCTCTAACCACACCACTGGCACACCCCCAAAAAGCCACGTTTTAGCTAGCCCCAGTTTCTAAAACGTCACGCGGCGTGAAATTTTCGAACGTTGGGCACAGAATTAATACTGTCAGTTTGTTTTGAATCAACTTTTTATTTGATTTCCAGTTCGGTTTTGCAGACACAAGTTCAGGAAAGCGATGGTAAGATGTTTTTTAATGATATTTATTCAAATCCTGCAGTGTTAGGAGTGATTAATGTATTTTTGTTGATTTTCAGACTACCTATACTGATAAAGGTCCCAAGGTATTACATAATATTTTTAAAGTGCTTTTCATACATTAATTAAAATGTTATTATTAAAAAGTTCCTTTAATTACTTAATGCGTTGCGTTGTCGCTTTTCAGACTCTTTAAACTGGTGTGATTTTGAACTGATATGTTTTACTGAGAGTAAATTTGAATTTAGAAGTCACGTCCATATGTCAAATTGTCACGCAAATTGACGTGTAGGGTGGGTAGGTGGGTCAAAACCATCCCTGTGACATTTTAAAATAAACTTACCATAAGCAGGGACATTGCTATTGTGTGTAGGGGAGGGTGTAACATCCCACACAAACTTTTTACCTTGTAAAAAACCATCTCACAAGCACTCAGTTTTTCCATCGCAAATGATCAACATTTCTTTTCTCCCATAAGTTTCAATACATTTGAAGTTGAGCACCATGTGTACAGCACCATGTCAAACACTGAAACCTACAAACATGCATAACGTCTAGTTGTGAACTTCCCTTTTCTAGCCAGATACTGGGCGATTTCTGGCATTTGATCACGTCACACTTTGGGTTGGTAATGCTAAACAGGTAATGGACCTGTCTTTATTGTTTTACTCTGTCTAATGCCAAATATAATTTTTCTCATCAAGGGAAGAGTGCTAGTACTCAATGGGTTAATAGTTCTTTATTATTCCAGGCTGCATCATATTACTGCACTCGTTGGGGATTTGAGGTAATCGGATATAAAGGCCTGGAAACTGGCTCAAGAGAGGTTGTGTCATATGCCTTACGTCTGGATAAGGTATGGAACTACAACTCGTACAATTAAATTATCCCAGCCTGAATCTATATTAACCTTCTTTTAAAATGTCCTCTTCCCATTTCAGAAGAGTTTCCCCTCCCCTTCTTCATGAATGTCCCCCACCCTATGGTAATAGGTGTTCTAGCTTCTCCCTTGAAGAATGTCCTCCTGTCCACTAGGAATCCCCACCCTCCATGCTATGCGATGTTCTCTGCCCTTGAAGAAACACACCCTCCCCTAACCCCCTGCCTCCTTGCAAATTCACCCACTGATATTCACCCCCTCTGACCCTCTCTTGAAGAATCTTTAGGCGTAAAAAAAAATACCTGTGGTTCCGGTTCCCGACCGACCCTATTTTTTTCTGCCGACCCTATTATTTTTTCAATGCGATTGACCGTGCGACCCTATTTTCTCCAGGTGGTTGCGGGCTGCTCAATCAGCGTGCCAAAATGGCATCTGTTGTCACACTAATTATTGAACCAAATTGCCTAAATTCGTCCATAGAAAATACGCATCCCTAGTTAATATTGATGTCTGGACTCTACTGCAAATCGCCCAGCAAAAAAACGCCAAAACCACACAGGGTTTTTTTTACGCCTTTTATCTGCCATATCAAACTTGATCATCCAATGTTATGATAAAAAGGAGCTTTGCTAAGCATCAGTGTGTATTAATGATCACCCATGCCAACCATCATTGATTCACCTTGTATGGTCTTTTTTGGTAGATTGTGTTTGTTGTACAGTCTCCATTGAACCCAACAGGAACAACATCAGAAAGTAGGTTCATTGATGAAATTGCTTGCACATGTTTTTTATCTTCATGACCATGTTTTCATTCCTGAGATGAATACGGTCACCACCCACCACAACAAAATATTTTGCACCCAGGCACAGATTTTCTGGGGGGTGCAGGGGGGGGGGGTGCACCCCCAGAAATGATTTGCACCACCCACCCACCAAGAGGCATTTGGCACCGCCCCCAAACATTTTTGCACCCCCTCAAATTATATATATTTTGATTTGATAGTTTCATATTTGATTATTCTTACTACTAAATTTGTAAAATTACCAATATTATGGTCTCAGATCTCGCCATGCAGGCCTAGAAAACAAATTTTGTTAAACCTTTTCCTTGGCCTTTCCGGGCGCCCCGGCCAAAGCATTTAGCAGCAGCACCCCCCCCCCAGATATTTATCCCCGAACGAAAATATGAAAATCCGTCACTGTTTGCACCCCCTCAGAAAGTTTTCCCACTTCACCTAGAGAGTTAACTGTACCCCCCCCCAGGAATTTACATGCTCGTTGGATTAAATTATAGTAGTATGATCATGGATATAATAAAACTAGGAGTTACTATCGCAAGGAAAATGCTGCCGATATGTACATGTAGGATGTGCCACAAAAAGAGCGTTTTTCACTGTATGTATGATTTATTGTCTTACACATCGTTGTTCCTCAGTTACCTTCGTACAATTATATCTTACATCTAATCTTATGAAAAGTATATTTTAATATACTTATTAGTGCGACTTTGATAGTTGACACATAATATAAATGATAAAATGTGAATATTATTGAATGATTTTGTCACTCGTACAACTTTTAATTTGACTATTCAAACAATTGATTTAAAATAGTTGAATTTATACTTACTGGGATGTTATTGCTTATTGGGATGTTGAAATTATGTTTGCTTTAAATACATTTAATTGATATTCCATAAATTCATTTTGTATGATTTCATTGATCTTGACATTGTTCAAAATCATTTTGTATTGTATTGAAACTGTATGTCTATGACCTATGTTATGTACTATATTAACCCATTGAATCGCATTGCACCCTGATGCACCCTACTTTGAACAGTATTTTACTCTGTCTAACGCCAGACGATATTACTCATCAAGGGGAGAGTGCTGGCGCTTAATGGGTTAACTGATCTATCTGCCCATGTGTCTAGTTAACCCATTGGGTCGCATTGCACCCTGATGCACCCTACTTTGAACAGTATTTTACTCTGTCTAACGCCAGACGATTTTACTCATCAAAGGGAGAGTACTGGCGCTTAATGGGTTAACTGATCTATCTGCCCATGTGTCTATTTAACCCATTGGGTCGCATTGCACCCTGATGCACCCTACTTTAGTATTTTACTCTGTCTAACGCCAGAGTATTTTACTCTGTCTAACGCCAGACGATTTTACGCGTCAAGGGGAGAGCGCTGGCGCTTAATGGGTTAACACGCCCAAAATCTGTACTAAAACTGCTAATTCTGTTTTGTGATTGGCACAGTTTAATCAAAGAATCCTCCCGTTGAACCAGAGCCTTCACAATATTTCAAATTATTATTAACTGAAGGCTCTGGAATCCAGGATAGCTTGCCATTGAATACAGTGCAATGCCTATATTTCTGAATGAATAAGATCATACTCAGAACAGTCAGAACTGCAAAACTATATTGTTAGAAAGAAGTTGAAGTTGTGAGCATTATTGTGGTAACACAGCCATATGTATATATCAATGTATGTCAGTAGAATCATGTTTATAGGCTTTATATATAAACTGAGGCAGTCTTATACAAGTCATATCTTATACAAAAGTCAGTTGATATGCTATATTACATGTAATTGCTGATAAGTCCATATATGCAGACAACAATCCACACTGGATAGCTCTAGGAATCTTGTTAAGCCTGATTTAACAACATCCCGCGTTTGTTTTTAAACTATAAACATCTAGAAATAGAACGTACCGAACACTATTATATACTCACCGCCTTTGGCTTTGCACATATTAAGTGACATAACAAACAAATAAACTAAAAGTTCATTTGCTTCTTGTATCAGCATAAAGACATTAATCATTACTGTCGATTTGGTCGGGAATAGATCAGTGATTCAGTAGGTATTATAATTGCCGATATATTCTTGAAATCATATTGTTTCAATGCCTTTACTCTAGGCTCTATATCGAAGTTTAATACACTAAAGTGACTAAACAAGTATAAACAGCAGATTTAAATATAAATGCCTTCATGTATTATAAAATATATCACCAGACAGGTAGACAGGGCACACGGCACGACTACATCACTATACGAGAACAAAATAAAGCCATCCTTACCTGAATTATTCAAAATATTGTCGATCATTCTTGCGCCAGAGACACAAAATAACACCGTGCTTTATTTACCCATTCATCTTCACAAATATTACTCGGAATTTTTATGGAAATTCGCATTATTTTATGATTTTTATATTTCTGTCCGTTTATAACAGTCGCCATGTTGCGAACAAACCCCCCCGGGAACAAAAAAATAATATCAAAACAGCTAGTTTTGGCCCGTCCGTGGATGACAAAATGACATAGATCGAGATTGTAGCGGCTATAAACTCGGCGGTCACGTGGTAAGCACACCACGTGTAGAGATTAGTGTGCTGCCTCGCTACGCTCGGCAGCAATAAAGTTTGTCAAGGAAAACGTGTTCATCAATATTATATAAAATAAATCCAGAGCTTACTAAATGGTTACAATGCCTATCATAAGTGTAAGGGTTTTAATAAATGATATACTGTATATATAGAAGGACACAAAGTATTTAAACTACGTGTAACTGGCAATAAAAACACAAAAGCCGGAGCTTGAAACAAAAGCAAAATTTCATACACTCATTTTTTAGCCATCTGCAAAGTTTTTAAAAAATAAATCTTACCTCAGTTAACTGAAGCCGTAAAATACTTTTCGTATATAGCGTATTGTAGTATCCATAAGCGGAGAACGAAGACATTTTCCCACTCAACTTTGTAAAACAAGCAAAGTGGAAGAAAAATATTAAGATTTTTAGCTCGAAACAAACAAAAACATTTTTCATCGAAAACCAAGGGGGGTGAAAGACACCGTCAGAAGCTTAGGATCGCGGTTTGTCAGTGGTAATTACCATGGCCAAAAGGAACCAGATGGCGTAAGCAAACGTTTTTTTGACTGACGGTAGATAGGAGCACCTCCTCCAGTAATATTATAGCTCAGTGGGCCCAATCCTGTTTTCCTCTCCTGTCACTCAGTTTTTGTTTGTACTTATGCTTTATATTTATATTTGTATTTATGACAAATCTCATTAAACTAAATTAAACTAAACTAACTAAAACTGTGTTTTCTTTTTCAGGAAACAATTTAGTTTTTGGTATTCAGTTATCCAGTTCCACTGCCATGTTTGAAGGTCCGTTTATACGTGTATATAATATTAATAATATATTATATAACTATTTATGTTCGCCAAATACACACGTATGTCGCCGCGTATGCTTAAGAGCCGCCGTCTGTAAATATCACTGGAGGTATGCAAAATGAAAAAATTCAAAATTTTCCAACTTTGTCAGAATATAGGTCTAAGTAAACTATTAATAGAAATACAACTTTAAGTTGCATCAGATTTTTATTTTAGGCAAACGGCTATTTTTTTATTTTCACGTCTCTCAGACTGGTTTTACAGGACACATACCACAGGTCATTTACAGATCGCTTAAAAATTGAAATTTTCAATTTATCACAAACATTTATTAACCATTTCAAAAAGGAAGTATTTCTATACAATTTCCTTGTTCGTTTATAAAATTTGGGTTTAAAGTAAATATTTTAGCGATTTTTGATTTTTTACTTAATTTACCGAATTTTTGGAGACCAAAAAATGGCTAAATTTAGAGTGGAAAGTCGTAAGGTTCCACGTAAATTTATTACTGCAAAGCTTTCGATCCGTAAGCCCGGATCTTCATCAGTGCTAGTAAATTAGCACTGATGAAGATCCGGGCTTACGGATGGAAAGCTTTGCAGTAATAAATTTACGTGTTTCCACAAACAATAGTATTATATGTTTTATCGCCATTCAAACCTACAACGAACTTACACTATTCTGTATTATATGGACAATGGTGTTTTACTGGAAACTAAAACACTCGTAGAACTCAGAGCTCATATATGAAGTGACATAAGAAGTTCGAAAATTTCCCGCCATTCATTGTTGTTTTGAAAATACAAATGGTCTTTGGTTCGTATATAAAACGAACTTAACGTTGGAAATAAAACGAAAACATTTAAAAGACATCTTGAGATGAGTAAAATTTATTCTTGTTTTATGTTTGCACTATAATTACTGAAAAAATCTATAAAAAATATACTGGTCTTTCGCGCGCTTATTTAGCTATACATGTCGTGTTTCCGTGTATTTTTGTCACTCTGAATAAGTCCATATAATAAACAGAACATTACACGGTTGCGAGTATAGATATGGATTTATGTTCTCATGTCAAAAACAATATCTCACTCGTTTGCGATATTGTTTTTGCCACTCGAACATAAAATCCATATCTCATCGCAACCGTCTAATATCCTCTATATGCATATAGCCGGTCTAGTTCAGATATGACGTCGTGTTTAGTTACTGGTTAGCACTATTTTCCATCCAGCAAACTGACCGGACGTCATTTTGTTAAATGGCTATGTAACTATAACCCAAATCCTACCCCTACTCTAACCCTAATCGCAACCATAACTCCAACCCTAACCAAATTAATAAAAAAAAATGTATGGCATGTTCTTTCGTCAAAATCCAAGATCTGATTGGTTATGTTAGTGAATACATTGATAATGCGACCTAAATATGTATGCATGATAATGCGACCTATATATGTATGCAGATTATTTGTTATGATACGGATGAAAATCAAAAATTATTTTTTGCCTCTGCAAACTCCATTTCCAGGCCGGTATTATATATATGTAGA